TAAAAAATCAATGGAAAAAATATTACACACAAAACAATTGGTGATTACCAGCCAAGGAAAAATAGATGTTTCTTTCAAAACAAAAAGGCCTTCAAAAGAAAAAAAAGGCTTTTCAAAATCCTTTTAGGATTAATGACAAGATTTGGCCTAATTTCACAAAAACAATGATACAACACCTCTTTATAAAAACAAAAAAAAAAGCAATATGTTCCCCTGAAACAAGCATCAAGTGCTGGCATGCTTTTTTCTCCTGCCAATTACAAATTCTCTTCCAGGGAAGGACACCCGGGCTTGAAATATGCTGTGACATTAAAATGTCTCCTGACATGAGACACTAGGACATTAAATTTTATCTAAATAAATTTTAAGCGTTTTCTGAATCAGAGAAAGGAGCTACTGTTTGGTGTTAGCATCAAGTATTGGGCAGTGTTCCTTATGCACGGTGGTAACTTTTAAAGGAGAACAAACTTAGAATTCACTGCATTTCGAACTACACATCACATGAGGAATTTTGAACCCAGCTGGGATACATGCCCTCGGAAAGGTTCTTGAAGGCAGGAAGCCTTATCTGTCTGTATCTTTGCACCCCACACTGCTGTGCACAGCGTGGAACCTGCATTTAAGCAGTTCCTGGGGATGTGTCAACAACGGTCAAGGACCACAACCTGAAGAATGAAGCTGGCAAAACAAGCAGATTCCAAACTGAATTGTACAGAAATAAAGCCCCGTCTACTAATGCAATGGCCACTTGCCCTTCTCAAGAATAAAAAATGCGCTCCTGGTGTCAGCAGAGGATCTTTCACTTTCAAAATGGAAAAAACAACAACAACAAAACCCGCGATAGTTCTGCCTCTCTAATTCTAAACAGCTGAATCATTCACATATTCACCTGCCCATAATGCTTCCAAGAACTGTCAATGCAGGCTTTGCTTTCTGCAAAGTCCGAATTTAAGACCTTCCCCAGAAGAGCATGGAAGAATTACAGGAAATGAGAGTGATTCGCTGCGTTATCCTTAACCAAACAGGCGGCCCCCGCAATTACATCGATCTCTGGTGAAGAAAAAATGCTAAGCTGAGAAAACATCCGTCCATCCAACGACTATTTATTAAATGTCTACTTTGGCGCAATGTAAATGGGCACACGGACGCTGGGCTAGGGGTGCTGGGGGCCGTCTGCTCCACCGCGGGGCGCATCGCACTCCAGATGCGCGAACCGGGGGTCCAAGGTGCAGCCCCGCGGACTCCCCGGGCCGCCTCCCGCCGACGCCACACAGGTCTCCCTAGCTACGCGGGCTCAGCGGGGGCGAAACGAGCCAATCCGTCCAGCCACTGCGGTTAGGGCCACCGCACACCCGGCTGCCGCGGACCCGTAAGGCCGTGGGATCCTCACACCAACGCTAAGACAGCTCCGTCCCCGAGGGGACACAGTGGGGCATAGGAGTAGGTTCAGTGGGCCCTAGAGAATCTCGGGAGGGTGCGCTGGGGCTGGAGGCCCCTGGGCTTTCTAAGGGTTGTAGAGACCGCGTCGTGCAGAGGTGTGGGGGCCCTAGAGGCTCCCAGACGGACGCGTTGGGGGGCAGTCGACCGGGGATGGAGACCCCTTCAGGACGCGCGCGGCCTGACGCTCACCCAAACAGCCCTCGGAGGAAGGAGTGGGAGGCCTTAAGTCGCTTTTCGGCATCCGCCATCAGCTGGACTGCCTCGCGCTCCTTCCCTGCGTTGTCCATACTTCCTAACGCCGCCGCCACAGCCTCCTCTGCCGGCTGAGTGCGCCTACCACGCCTTCGCTCCCTTCTTGCAAGGCGGCGCGCGCAGGCGCGGTGCGCACAGCCTGCCGGAATTTGTAGTCCGGGACCCACCCTGGAGGCGGGAGCGCAGGCGCGAAGCGCAGGTTGGTTCGGCTGGGGTCAAGGACAGCTCCCAGCGGGGTGCAGAGCGGGCCAGGGTGGGGTCGAATCTCCCTGACCGCTGGCGCTGGGGGTGGGGTCTTAGGCCAAGGTGAAGTTTAGTCCTTTAAGTATGCGGGAAATGGAAAATGACCCCTGGCTTCCAGAAAGATCACCTTAAACGTTCAGCATTATGTTGGTTCAGGAATTCCTGCTCAGCACAACTGGCATGTGGCAGTGGATGGATGAGATACCTGGATCACAGAATGGAATGCTCAACCTACAGTCTAGTTTTGCAAAAGGAAATCCAGAGCGGCCACACACAAAAATAACTTCATTAACTGTGCGATGCCCATTTACCCACTCACCCACCCAGTAACAGCTGGCAGAAAGAGACATTTTTACCTCCAGAGCAAGACATTTAAGAATGTATCATTTCTCCCAATATAAATTCAGAGTTATTTTTCAGTCTTCCCATATTGCAACCTTCTAATGGTCCTCTCTTGCTTGATTATAATTGAGTTGCATATATGCAATATATGCATAATTCACTGTTTTTATTGACTGAATTCTTTTCAATGGATGTGAGCCATTGAGCTCTCTTTATCCTTTACATAATGTTTTCCATTGGCGGCAGATCTCCTGGGACACAATATCTGACTTCCAATAAAAATTCTAATCTCCTAGGAGAAGTATCCATAGATAGATGCCATTGTCTGCCAAAGATTTCCGGGACTGTCCCAGAGGGAGTTGTTTGTTTGTTTTTTAATACAAAGCCTTGTCTAGATCGTTTACATTTGGCAATGCTAAAGCAAAGGTGGTTACGCAAATACAAAGATCACTGCCAAATGAGAGCTTGTGACAATTTCAAACTATTAATCGGTACTCTGTGGTCACTGCCACACAAAATCTATCTAAGACCATGCTTTCAGAGAGCAAGGCAAGAAGGCTCAAACTCCTAGAGAGATAACTGAAGCAAACGTCACAGAGTTTATGCATTGCAGTGTTATCTGTAGGGAGCTCTCCACCTACCTACCTGTTGCTGGGAGGAGAGGGGGAGTGAGCTTCTTGTGATATCATGAGAAAAGGAATTTTCTGAGACTCTCACGGGAGGATGCAATATTGTAGAAAGCTTTATTTCTGTGGAATTAAACCCCTGCGCTTCCCAGGTTCCATTTCCCATAGTCCCACCAAGGAAGAAGTCCGTCTTTGCCTTTAGCAGGGCTGGGATCAAAGAGTTTCCGTTCCATGTTGGGGCAAGTCCAACCCAGCAGGCTAGCTTAGTGTGTGTTCCCCGCTGCAGTCCAGCAGTCCATTGCATGTGGGGTCTGCATGGCCATCTGCCATGGGGCCTCTAGGGCCACACGGCTATGCAGGAACATGGGCAAATGTAAGAGAGTCACAAGAGCCAAGAGGGTGAGAATTCCTTTGTCTTGGGATTCTATATCCCCAAATTTTCACAGGTTTTCTGTGGCCCCAGTCCTTCTAGCAAACGATTTCTGTTGCCAAGTTTGACTGACAGGGACCTTCCCTACGTCACCCCTGACTTTACTGCACACGTGTCCATCTCCCCTACCCCTAGTGATCTTTGGGGAATGGGCCAGTGATTCCCTGGGGAGTCTAAAGTTTCAGCTTCCTGGTGAAGGTGCCCAGATGGCTGTGCTTATAATGTCTGGCCTCCCCTTTTGCTCCTTTCCTATTATTAATAACTAGCTTATTACAACCATATCAGCTGGACTCCAAAAGTAGAAGGAAATCTCAGATCTTCAAGTAGAGTTTATTCACTATTACTACATGCATTATTCTAACTTGTGTATTTTGGGGGCAGGAAATTGGAGGTAGCAGTAGTAAAGAGGAAAACTGAAAAGAACAAAAAAGGACATAAGCACTTGAAAAGCAGAGCAGTCTATGGGTGAGGCAGAACTGTAAGAAGCTGGGAAAATTCTTTGATAAGTGGATTAGGGAAACTAGGACAGAGAGTTAAATGGCCAGGCAGTTTACAGCCATCAAGTAAGTCACAACATCCTATCTTCCATAATCAAGGACCCAAGAGTACATGGTTTACACTTCTCCTTCCTAACCAGAGGGTAAATAGCTTAAATCATCCCACTCAAAGAGATGCTAGTAGATATTGGAAGTCCAATTAGCACCATTTGCCAACCACATACAAGGACAGATGAAATTATGGGAATAAATCTCATTTGGTGTATCAGCCTAAAATTGATGAATATTGTATGAGATCTTCCCCTGAGACCTCCCCTAAACTCCCAGTCTTTTAAACCCTTCAAGACAAAGGACCCAGCAAAGCTCTCCCTCCCAGGAGCATGCCCATACCTTTCCCTTCCCCCACAGGCATGCATCTCCTAAGGGACCCCAGGAAACTTGCAACCAGAGGAGCAATGGGCAGTGGCAGCTCACCCCTGGCTAACCCCTTGAACTTGTCTCCAAGGTCCCTTTTCTCTGACTTTCCAGTGAGCTGGCAGAAGCCTCACCTTGGCTCACTTCTTTCCTGTAACATTCCTAGAGAGCCAAAGCAGCCCCGCCTCTCTCTCCTGTTGCTTCTATCCTAGGCTCTTCCTGTTTCACTGTCCCTAGCTTTAATCAAAGTACTGTCTATATCACCTGTACTTATGCTGTGAAATCTCTCCTGCATAAAGTCAAGAACCCACACACTACAGGCTGGCCAGAGGTTTACCTGTTCTGGATGGTCCCTGTCCAATAACATGGGGATTTAATGGAGCAGGGCCATCTCAGAAGCTCTGAAGTGCAGCATCAGTATGATGATTAAAACAGTTCCCAAACTTGGCTCAATGTGGAAACTCTAAAGAATGTCCAAGAAATACAGACTCCTGCGTCACTAGCTTTTTGTATCAGGATCTCCTAGAGTGGGGTCCAGGGAGTGTACATTGTAAGAACTCTCCACAACTGTGCTAAAACGTACAATTCTAGGTCCTCCCATCTAGTCAGCTGGAAAGGAGGTGGAATGGACTGCCTCCTCTAAACTAGAACTTGTGATTTAAGGGTTTCAGGGATATATATTGGGATTTCTTCTGTTTCTGGGTATTTCCCTCATTCTCTCTCTCTCTCTCTCTCTCTCTCTCTCTCTCTCTCTTTTCCCTCACAGTAAACCTACAGGAACTCCCACTCTCCCCCAGGCCACACCCAGAGGCTAGGTGAGCAGAGGTGACAGGGCAGAGAGACAAACCTGATAGAGTGAGGACTGACTAGAGCAGTGGTTCTCAACCTTCCTAATGCCATGACCCTTTAATACAGTTCCTCATGTTGTGGTGGACATGCAGGATGTATTTTCATTGTTACAAATTGAACATACTTAAAGCATAGTGATTAATCACAAAAACAATATGTAATTATATATGTGTTTTCCGATGGTCTTTGGCGACCCCTGTGAAAGGGTCGTTCGGCCCCCAAAGGGGTCTCGACCCACAGGTTGAGAACCGCTGGACTAGAGGGACAGATGAGGAATCTGAAGAAGTTTGAGAAAATGGCAGGAGCAGGAAAGACACTCTGACCTCCCCATACCCTTCTCCTTTGAAAGCAAGAGATAAATGTCCCCGTGTAAGTGCCCTCCTGGTACCAGAAGGAAGGAAAACATCTTTAACACTAGAGGTGGGGGAATTTAGCACCGTGAAGGCTTTATAAACAAACCTTGAGGCTTCTTTACCACTTACTACCCCTCACCCAAACTCCTTTGTCTTGCCAATTCTTTACAAATCTGTTTCTTTGTCTACAGGTATACAAGCTTTCTGCTCTGAGCACTTCTTTGGGTTGCCATTCTCTTGTCAGGTCTCCCACATAAACGTAAAAATTCAATTAAATGTGTGTGTTTTCCTCTGGTTACTCTGTCTTATACCAGTTTAATTCTTAGGCCAACCCAGAGCCCCAAAGAGGGTACAGGAGACATTCCTTCCCTTTATAAGCAACACCCAAACTTGAGAAATCAACTTTCTTTTTTGAAAAATATTATTTTTAATTTTTCAATTCCAGGTGACATATATTAGATCCAGATGTACCACATAGTTATTTTACATTTATATAACTTATGAAGTAATTACCTCAATGAGTAGTACTCACATGATACTATACATAGTTATTCCGGTATTATTGACTATATTCCCCATGCGGTACTTACATCCCTGTGACTGTTTTATAACCAGCAATTTATACAATGTAATCCCTCCCCTTTTTTCACTCACCCACCATGGCCCCTCCCACTTGGCAACCATCACAAGTGCATGATTAAATTCTGAATAAGTAAAGTTCACAATGTATTCCTCCCTCACAAGGAGGTGGGTGGGGCTTACCTCACAAAGCTCTGCTGGGCTCATACTAAGATAGCTTGAACCAGTGCCAGGGCCTGCAGGCACAGTGAGAAATCCAGCCGGCAGAAATCTGTGGTAAGTAGCTGGCGGGTGAGTACAGAGAACCTCTAGAGAAGCATAGGAAATAGGTGATGGCTGGGTGAGATAGTTGGAACCCAAAGCAGGCAAGTAGAATGCCCCTGACCCTGCTCCATGCCCCTGATTTCTTATATCCCAGTTCAAACATCATGTTCTCCATAAGCCTTTCCCTATTTCCATGAATGGTGTTCCTCTGTCCAATACACCGGGTCTTATTGCATAGCACTGTAGAGGTCTGTTTTAGGTTTTTCTTCCTTTGTAGGTGTAAAGGCAGGGAGAAGGTCTTACCCACCTTGGCAGGTGTTTAGAAATTATGCCTGCCTGAAACACCGAAGAACCGAATGGGTGTGGAAAATGACCTGACCTGAGAGTAGGTTGGACAGCCACGCAGAGAGATTTCTCTGTCTGGTCCTTCCTTCAAATTGTGGGCAGGGTGTTGAAAGGAAGAGGCCCAGGTCTCAGTCTCTGTTTAAATGCAGGCAGCTGTCTCCGGGGAAAGGCTGCGTTGGTGAGGGCTGTGGATGAGCAGTGAGCGAGCCTGAAGGTGCAGTGGATAGGAGGTTTCTGAAGCTGCAGACATGGGAGCTGAATGCTGGAGAACCCTTCTGATGTTGTTGGCTGCTCTGGTCCTGACGGCCAAATTGGGTCACTTTCAAAGGTGGGGAGGCTTCCAGGAGAAGTCCACAAGCAAGAAAAACATGAATTCAACACTCCGATTCTTCATTGAAAACTACAACAACGTGAGCAATGACACCTACTTATTTCGAGTAGACAAAGTACTTCAAAGTTATGTGCAGGTTTGTATCTCGGTTTCTCTGAATATGGGTAGTACTCCCATTCTTGCCCATTTTTTACATTGAATTTATTGGGGTGACACTGGTAAACAATATGATACAGATTTCAGGTGCACAATTTTACAACACATCATCTGTACACTGTATTGTGTGTTCACCACCCCAAGTTAAGTCTCCGTCTATCACCATTTATCCGCCCCATACCTCCTCCACCTCCTCTCTTCCCCTCCCCTCAGCAATCACCACACTGCTGTCCATCAGTTTTCCATCATTACTTTTTCTAAATATCTTTTTTTAAAATATATTTTTATTGATTTTGTACAGAGAGGAAGGGAGAAGGATAGAGAGTTAGAAACATCGATCAGCTGTCTCCTGCACACCCTCTACTGGGGATGTGCCCACAACCAAGGTCCATGCCCTTGACTGGAATCGAGCCTGGGACCCTTCAGTCCGCAGGCTGATGCTCTATCCACTGAGCCAAACCGGTTAGGGCTCTAAATATCTTTTCGATTTCTTGCTCTCTCCCCTCCTTCTGGCACCCCTATGATGCCAATGCTGGGCCCTTCTTTGTCTTTTGTTATAGCCTTTTTTTTTCTATTTTGCTTAATCCTTCCACCCCCACCCGAACACCACCACCCCTCCCTGAGCTGTCTGCCTACTCTTTATCTATGAGTCTGTCTCTATTTTGCTTGGTAGTTCAGTTTGTTCATTAAATTCCACATATGAGTGAAATTATATGTTACTTGTTTTTCTCTGACTGGCTTATTTCACTTAGCATAATATTCTCTAGGTCTATCCCTGTTGTTGCAGATGGCAAGATTTAATTATTTTTTTATGGCTGAATCATATTCCATTGTATAGATCTTTATCTTTACCCATTCATCTATTTTTTTCTTAATATATTTTTATTGATTTCAGAGAGGGAAGGAGAGGGAGAGAGAGATAGGAACATCAATGGTGAGAGAGAATCATTGATTGGGGGCTTCCTGCACACCCCCCACTGGGAATCAAGCCCACAACCTGGGCATGCGCCCTGACCAGGAATAGAACCATGACCTCCTGGATCATAGTTTGATGTTCAACCACACTGGCTGGGCTATCCATTCATGTATTGATGGACACTTAAGTTGCTTTTATATCTTGCTGCAATAAACATATGAATATATAGATCCTTTTGATTTAGTGTTTTGGGTTCCTTTGAATAAATATTAGAAATAGAGATGTTAGCTCTTTTTTTCTCTTTTTTTATAGCCTTTGTTTTAAAGTCTATTTGGTTTGATATAAGTATTGCTACCCCACATTTTTTGTTTTGTGTTGTTTCCATTTTCATGAAATATCATTTTCCATCCCTTTACTTTGAATCTGCGTGTGTCTTATTTATTTTATTTATTATTTATTATTGAATTTTTTTTAGAGAGAAGAAGGGAGAGAGAGAGAGAGAGAGAGAGAGAGAGAGAGAGAGAGAGAAACATTGATGTGAGAGAAGCCTCCTATATATGCCCTGACTGCAACTTGGGTATGTGCCTTGATCAGGAATTGAATCCACCACCCTTCTGTGTACAGATGATGCGCCAACCAACTGAGCCACACTGACCACTTACATACATACAGCATAAATAAGGGTCCTGTTTTGTAACCTATTCAAACACTGTACCTCTTTTGTTGGTGCACTTAATCCATTTGCATTTAAAATAATTGTTGACAGATATATATTTAATGCCATTTTATTATTCATATTTTTAATCTTTTTTTCTCTTTTTCTCCTTAAAGAAGACCCTATAAAATTTCTTGTAATACTGGTTTGGTGGTAATAAACTCCTTTAGCTTTGTCTTGTCTGGGAAGCTTTTTATCTGTACTTCAATTCCAAATGATAGCTTTGCTAGGTAGAGTAATCTTGGTTGTAGGTCCTTGTTTTTCCTCACTTAGAATATTTTATGTCAATCCCTTCTGGCTACAAAGTTTCTGTTGAGAAATCAACTGACAAACTTATGGGAGTTTCCTTATAGGTAACTAACTGCTTTTCTCTCGCTGCCTTTAAGATTCTCTCTTTGTCTTTAACCTTTGGCATTTTATTATGAAGTGTCTTGGTGTGGGTTTTTTTAGGTTCATTTTGTTTGAACTTTGTGCTTCCTGGACTTCTATGTCTATTTTCTTCACCAAGTTAGGGAAGTTTTCCATCATTATTTTTTCTAAATAACTTTTCGATTTCTTGCTCTCTCTTCTCCTTCTGGCATCCCTATGATGCAAATGTTGGTATGCTTGAAGTTATCTCAGGAGCTTCTTACACTATCCTCATTTCTTGGGTTCTTTTTTCTTTTTGCTGGTCTGATTGGGTGTTTTCTGCTTCCTTATATTCCAAATTACTGATTTAATACTCTGCTTCATCTACTTTACTGTTGATTCCCTTTAACTTATTCTTTATTTTGTTTAGTGTAGTCTTCATTTCTGCTGGTTCGTTTTTTATGATTCCTTGTCTTTTTTATGCTGTTGAAGTTCTCACTGAGTTTTCTGAGCATCCTTATAAGCACTGTTTTGAACTGTGTATCTGGTAACTTCCTTGCCTCCATGTCATTTAGTTCTTTTTCTGAAGATTTCTCCTGTTCTTTCACTTGGGATCTGTTTCTTTGTCTCCTCATATTGGCTGCTTCCCTGTTTTTATTTCTATGTATTATATAGAGCTGCTATGTCTCCTAGACTTGGTAGAATGGCCTTATAGTAAGTGTCCTGCAGGGTCCAGGGGCACAGCCTCCCCAGTCACCCATGTTGGGTGCTTTAGGTATGGCCCTTGTGTGGGCTGTAGGAGCTGTCCTGTTGTAGTTGAGTCTTGATTGCTGTTGGCACATCACTGGGAGGGATTAGCTGCAAAGACTGACGGCAACTACAATGGGGGAGCTGCTTGCAGGGGCTGACCCCATAGAGCAGGACTTTCTTCAGTGGGGCTTTGGTGCCTGCTGAGGCTGCACCCTTAGTGTGTCACTCATGAAGATTGTTGGGTTGTAATCTGGCATGTTATGAAGCTGTACACCATGTGCACTGGCTCTGGGACCTCTTGGAAGGTACAAGGTCAGCCACCAACTGTGCCCTGCCTGGGCCCAGCATGGTCTACAGATGGTTGCTGCTTTTCCTGGAGTAGGAGGTGCCCAGAAAAAGCCAAACTGTGAACCAAGTCTGGCTGCCACTAGTGCTGGCCTTGGGGTCACTTAGCATTATATACAGGGTATGCAGAAGCCAGATACTGCTTGTTTGAGAGATTTTAGGAAAATCTGAAGCATGAGCCAAAAGAAGTCACTTGTATGGAAAAAAACACTGGAAACTGCTTGAATGGGCCCCAAAGTTGGGTGGGGCAGTGTCTCAGGGAATTACCAGGGCGGGGTGAACAGTGTTAGCCAGGTTGATGGAGACTTAGATATGGCACTGGACTGCCAGCTCTTTGGGCAAAAGGCTCAGCAAAGGAACAGTATCTGCCAGCATTTCTGTCTGGGAGAAAGTGGCTCCTCTAGCTTTTGTAGTCAAGATATCCCTCCTGATTTTTAACTGCCACATGTGGGTATGGAACCAGTTTGTTTCATGTCTCCAACCTTCTTACCAGTCTCAACATGGCTTCTTCTTTATATCCTTAGTTATAGGACTTCTGTAAAGCTAAATTTCAGGCATTCTGAATAATGGTTGTTCTATAAATTAATTGTAATTTTTGATGTGGTTGTGGGAGGTTCCCAGTACCGCATTTACCTGTGCCACCATCTTGTCCAGGCTGTTTTCTCTAACAGTCTCATTTGGCAAAATATAAGTGTTCTCTGTAGGTTCCCCTCAACAATAGTATTTCAATGTCCAGGGCTGTAAAATCTAAGTTTGGACTTTCTAGCTGTGTTCTATAGAAAATGAATTATACAGAGGTGTGGGTTTTGTTTGTTTGTTTGTTTTTTTAACAGGAGGAGACCAAGAGGAGCGAGGGCTAGGCTTCAATCAGATCATCTCTTCTTTTATTTGTTTTTTTGTGTAAAATTTTCTGATATCAATTGAAGGATGATAGAGGATGAAAAAAGTTGTTTGAAAATCACTTTTGCTTGTCTAACCTCTCCTCAAGGTCAGATAGTAATGTTAAAAACAACAATTTTAACTTCCATGACTGAAAGTTTAAAAGTGCTAGCCAAAAAGAAGATTGATCTTGAGGCATGAAGTCCAAACCACCAGCAGATGGTTTGGTGGAAAAGACACATAAAATCCATTGTCTTGGACTCTGCAAGCATTTTTTATACATCACGTGGGGGCAGGGGAAAGAAAGATGTAAGCCTTCTGAAAGAATTTACATGAGCTACAGGCGAAGTGGTGGGAGAAAGTGGGGCCAGCTCTGAAGTAGGTGCAGAGTCTGCAAAAAGAAATGTCCATTCCTGTTGATGGGCTGCGGGCAGCATTCTGGGAAGCCCACATGTAAACAGTAAGTGGAGCTCCTGGAGTTTGATGGTTCCTGGCTAAAAGAATCTGTAGAAATAGCCAACTGGAAATTAATTCCAAATTCCAACGGACAGAAGGAATGTGAGCAGTCTTTTGTTGGTTGACCTTCAGCCATTAACAGATGAACAGTTCCGTCACTTTTCTCTCACTCTTTGACCTCTGTAATTTAATTTAGAACAGCTCAGAATTTTCTCCTTGTCAGTAAAATATGTAAGTTAGGTCAAAGGCAATACTACATCTTAGTTCAATTATGTAGTATTGAACTAATAAAAAAAATTAATAGACTAGAACAGTGATTTTCAACCTTTTTTCATACCATGGCACACATAATTAGTAACATCATGTGGCACACCAAAAAATACATTTTTTGCCTATCTGACCAAAAATATGTATAATTTTGATTCATTCACATTGGACAGCTATTGTTGTGTTGGCTGCTGTCATTCTTTTATTTGATAATCTAATGGAAAAGAAATTAGTGCCCCTGACTAAATAGTCAGGTATTGCATGTTTTAAAAAATTCTTACAACAAACCGGTATGCCTCTTGCGACACATGGATTGAAAATCGCTGGACTGATTAGAGAGGAGTAGTGGGAACGGGAGAAAACAGCCAGGGCAGGGGGCAGAGAGGGATGGGCAGTGTTAATGTGACACAAATGGGCCTCATAGGCATCAGCTTGTTCTTTTTCAGTAACTCACCCGTGCCACAAAATTGTGGCTTGTTAAAGTCTAACATTGAGGTGACTTAGCCACAAGGGGGCAGCCCTTGACCAACTTTCTTGTGGAAGTTGGCTTGTTCGTCTCTTATCTTCCCAAGGATAAATCTGACCATCTTAGGAGGCCTGTCTTGTGGAATCAATCCATTGTCATTAACAGTTACCTCTGAAAGAGTTGTTTGTGAATAAACATGTGATGTCATTCAAATGGATGAATTGACAGAGAGGATATGCCTTTTGGTAGCTGGGTGATCTGGGCAAGGATCCCTGGGCATCCCCACTCCTGTTACGGCATGATTGTGTTTGTTCTAATACCTCACAGAGGGATGCAGGAGGTGGGCACCTTCTGAGTTTGACGTCCAGATCCTCCTAATCATGGGATTTTGGTCAAGTGCCATCCATACCTGCAGCCTCAGTTGACTCACTTGCAAAGTAGGCAGAAAAGAGTGAAGCAGCATTTATGAAAATATTTGTATTATTATGATAATTCCTATTATTATTTGACAGTCAAGTCTTATAATGAATAAGAAAGCACTACATTATTGGAATGTTAGTTAAATTTATGGCCAATGTTTTAGTTTCTCCATACGTGCAGAATGTGCTGAACATCAATGTGACAATACTTGGCACAAGCCCTGCAAGCTGCCAGTGCTTGGATGAAACTGTCCCTTCATGAAGAACTCAGGAGCCCTGCATCCTGAGGTTCTTCCCTTAGACATGGGGACCAGGGTGGTGGTACTGCCCTCAGGCCTCCTCCCCCAGCCACACTGCACACCTTGAGGTTTTGTAGTGGCGCTTTCCTCTCAGGGGCGGTATGAGCGCTCTCTCCCTCTCTCACCACGCCAGAGAGTACAAGCCTTCTTATGTGATTGGCCACTGCATTTGGACAAGGAAGCAAGACCTTCTAGGAGCTTCTCCCCTCACCAGGCAGAACTCTCTAGTGACTAGTCCACACAGTTACTGGGAAATTCAGCCATTTCCAACACAACCATGTATTAGTTTCACCTCTGCGTGTGGGGCTTACCTACCACCCAAAGGCTTTCCCAGTCTTTTGCCCTTGCATCTTTGGATCTTGCACTTGAACATGAGTAGACAAGAAGACAAATCACAACAGGAAGTGGCTCTTGTGTGCATTCTCCATGGTTTATATATTCACCATTTCCATACATCATCAGAGGAAATGGGCACTATCCTTCCCATTTTCTAGACGAGGAAACTGAGACTCAGATAGGTGGAGGGACTCTACTTGCTCAGATAAAGTTGGCAGGGCATAAAGCCAGAACTTGAGCTCAATTCTTCTGTCTTCTGTTCTGACACTCTCCCAACTCCATTGCTACTTCAGAGTAATGTTCCCAACACTTGTTAAAACATTTAATAATTCGTAATTATGTAGTTACTTGGAAATGTATTTTGTGCATTCAGTGAAATGCGTGCTTCTCTTAACCCAGTGGTTCTCAACTCTCTGGCCCTTTAAATACAGTTCCTCATGTTGTGACCTCAACCATAAAATTATTTTCATTGCTACTTCATAACTATAATGTTGCTACTGTTATGAATCATAATGTAAATATCTGATATGCAGGATGGTCTTAGGCGACCCCTGTGAAAGGGTCGTTCGACCACCAAAGGGGTTGCGACGCACAGGTTGAGAACCGCTGTCATCTAACAACTCTTAGAATAGGCATAATTATTACCTATACTCTGTTGGTGAGGAAACTAAGGCTGCTAGGCTCAAGGTCACAGCATTCCTGTATGGAGAACACATGCTCCAAATCAGTTAGAGTCCTAAGCTTATGGGTTTTTTTTATTAACAATTTTAATGTTGACATTGTTGCAGGTGTCCCCTTTCTCCCCCCCTTTGCCCACCTTCATCCACAGGCACCTCCCCCTCCCTTGGCCTTCACCAAACTATTGTCCGTGTCCATAGGGTATGCACATATGATCTTTAGCTAATTGCTTCACCTTCTTTATCCAGTCATCCCCACCCCTCTCCTCTCCTGCAGCAGTCTGACCCACGTGTCCATGCTTCCAGGTCTATTTTGTATATCAGATTATTGTGTTCATTAGATTCCACATCTTAGTGAGATCATATGGTATTTATCTTTCTTTGACTGACTTATTTAGCTTAGCATAATACTCTCCAGGTCCATCCATACTGTTGCAAAGGGTAAGAGTTCCTTCTTTTTTTTTTTTTTTTTACAGCCATGTAGTATTCCATTGTGTAAAAATACCATAGCTTTTTTATTCACTCATCTGCTGATGGGCACTTGGGCCATTTCCAGATCTTGGCTATTGTAAATAATGCTGCTGATATTGCTCGGCCTCTCAGCCAAGCACCTGCTCCAGGGGGGCTCCCCCTTTCCGTGACTCCCCTTCTCTTTCCAGTCTCTATGTTGTTTCTTCAGTGCTCCTTAGATATATGTCCAACCAGCTGCACTTCTCTTGACTTTTCAAATTGACTGCAAAGTACTTGAACTGTAATTCCAGTCCTTGGCTGGGAGCAAGTGTGCATAGCTACAAGTTACACTGCAGCCCACTTGAATCCTCCAAGCTTATGTTTTGAGCTGTGTTGCTGACCGCCTCCCATCAGGTTGGCTGGGAAGGAGGGAGGAGAAGGAGGACATGGCTGAAGGGGCTGGGAGAGCAGAGGGATAAGGTGTGGCTGGTTCTATGCATTCTGAGGACCATGTGTGAGACCTGGGGGTGCTCTGGCACTGCCAGTCAGCCAAGCTCAATGTGTTGCCTACCTTGTCTGAGGATGCGGGGGGGATAGGTGCGATCCATCTGTGCCTGTTGCAGTGAGTCCAGTGCAGAGCCAGGGAATGGGTTATGCACATGCTGGGCACTGACCAGGGGCCTTAGTGCCCCTGTGCATCCTCAAGCTGGAGGGAGAGGAGGGGGCCATGCTTGGGTGGGTGAACCAGACCCAGGGACGTGGCTCCTGGGGCTTCACTCTCCATTCTAGCCTTCCTTGGAGAGAGCCAGCAACTGGATGCTTTGACTCCAGACTAACAGTGCTATTGCTTTTCTGTAGCTGACAACAGGAGTGGAGTATCTGGCCACCGTAAAGATTAGCCGGACCAAGTGCAAAAAGAACAGCACAAAAAGTCATTCATGCCCCCGACAAAGCGAAAAGAAGAAGAAGAAGGTGTGTGGTGGCAGTCATCTGAAAAGAGACTCCTAACCAAAGGGAGAAAAGTCAGAACTTTAAAAGTTAACACAAATTGGACATTGACAGCTTTTACCGCTGTGTGGATTGGGGCATAGCAAGGGCACAGCCCCAGGGCTGCTGAAACCACCAGAGGTGCTGGGGGTAGGAGGGAGGCTCTCTGATTGAACAGTCCCCCTCCCCCCGGGCATGGCACAGACCTGGACCCTGGCCTCCAGGTCTCCCGGACCATTCCCAGCCTTCAGTGGAAGCAGCATTTTTCTTTCCATGGGGACCTTGTTCTGGTCATGGCTTGCACTCTCCAGGCCGCTGAGGATTGTTTAATTGCCTCCTTGTCTTCATGAATTTGCTCACTCTTTTCCTGGTTCCTCTGGGTGGCACCACCTACTGGCAAATATGACAGTCTCCCTGTGCCTGGGTGCATGTGCCTGGGGGCTGGGGTCCGAGGAGGGCTTTCCAGTTGTGCCTGCTCCAGCTCCCAAGTAGCTGGGCAGAGGGAGCCCCCGGTGACATTCCTGTTCTGGGCCTTGAACCCCCTCAGCCCCCTCTGCCCCCTCCAGATGACTGAGCAGATTCTCCCCCCCCACATGGCCAGTGTGCAGCCTCAGCGATGGTTCTAAACTCTCCCCGAGGGTCTCGGGGCAGGAGATTTCCCGGAAAGCTGATTGTGCCTTTCTCCTTCCACAGAGTTTCATTTGCGAATTTTTGATATACACTGTGCCCTGGATCAACTATTATGAGCTTTGGAACAACTCCTGTCTGGTGGCCTACTAGTAAATGGGTTTGTGCAAAGATCCTCGATGAAAACGTAGATGGCTGTGCTGTGCGTTTTCTATTACAGACCCCCGGAAGGACCTCATCCCCCTCAACAGGGTCTCACTACACACACACACTCACACATGTACACGCATATGCACTAACTCTCACACACTCACACAGCGCTCGCACACACACATACACACACACTCACATAAACCCAAACACAATTCACACACTCTCACTCACATTCACACTCACTCATGTACATAGACAGTGGTCTTTAGAGGGCTGGTTCAATTTGAGCAGAAGGTTGTTATGTATTTGGAGGAATCTCATAACTTTTTCTATATCAGCCCGTATCTCTGGGGCATATCTTGACCTCTGACCCAAGCTTGAGGGAGCTCTGTTTCTTCTCAGTGCACAAACAATTCCGTGACTGACACATGTCTTTTTGAGTGTGTCCAAGACACCCTAGACCAGCGGTTCTCAACCTGTGGGTCGTGACCCAATTGGCAGTTGAACGACCCTTTCACAGGGGTCGCCTAAGACCATCCTGCATATCAGATATTTTCATTATGATTCATAACAATAGCATCATTACAGTTATGAAGTAGCAACGAAAATAATTTTATGGTTGGGTCACAACATGAGGAAATGTATTTAAAGGGCCAGAAGGTTGAGAACCACTGCCCTAGACCAACCCCCCAGTATCAGATTCACTAGAAGGATTCCCAGGACTCAGCATAGAGTCATACTCATGGCTGTGACCCATTATAGTGAAAGGACACAGAGCTAAGTTTGCAAAGGGAGAAGTAGAGTGGAGAGATGAGCCTGGTGACTTAGTTTAAAATCCTGAATCATGTTGTTGGGTGCTGCTTATTCTCCACTGCTAATCGCATCCATGGAAGAGGGGCCCCTACATAGCATCCCTGCTTTTGCTGTCCTCACCACTTCTCTCCAGGAGAACTTAATCGAATTGGCCTATTTGGGAAGAAAAAACTGGACATTGTAGTCCAGGTCCTACTCTTTCCCACCGGGGGCACACATTTTCCTTGTCAACTCCAGGAGAGGAACCTCTTTGTGAAGAGACCTGCTCTGGTCCAATGTTGCTGATGCTGGGTGTGTAAGTTGAATTCTAGAATTTTGTATTAGGAAGTGCACTTGCCTATCAAAATGGCACAGCTCCCAACTTAGTCCTGATCAGCAACAAAGGCCTTTTAGCTTTTGTAGTTATATTATTTCTCTGTGTTTTGCATGTTAGACAAGAAAGGAGATGCTCTTTATTGGACTCCTCAGAGATGCCATCATAGTCCATACTTGCCACTATCTTTTGTCTTAGCGTTTCTTTCCTCTTCTCTCTTCTTTCCCCTTTCTCCATTTTGTTTTAATCTAAAGAAACCTCCTGGATGTGGGGATAGTGTTGAAGTTCTGCTATCATGCACGTTATGTAGGCTATAAGGCCAGAAATTATTCATGTCATTTCATTTGGACCCCAAAACTGCCCTGCCCAGAAGACCTTCAGACTATATTATTATGAACTGAAGAATTTGGGGGAAAATGGAATTTTACACATTAAGAACATTAACAGAATAGGTGGACAAACATTTATTTTCTGTACAGGGAGTTACTGCTTATTGCAGGATACTTTCACATATAGTGACCACAGGTGTGTGCTCCAGGTCACCTAGCCATTGGTGCAATTTTTGCGCAGAATTTTGTACTTTTCAAACCAGGGGACAACAAACACTGAGTAAAAGCACTCAATTTGCTAAAAAACAAAGAAACAAAAAACAATATTTTAAAAAGATAACATGCAAGGTGGAAATTTTAAAGGGGAAAGAAGAGGATATAATACTTGTGGATAGTTTATTCTTTATTGTGATTTTAATCACTTGATAGTATTAGAGTTGAGGTCATTCCAGAAAATGTTCTTCTATTTGTAGTTAAACTTAGAGACTAGAAATAAAGTGCGCCCCCCCCCCCCCCCGCATATATTCACTGATTGACTTCCCTCTTCATTTTTACTTGTGTTGTTTACTTCACACTTTTTCTTCCTTGACCTGTACAGGCTTCATCAATCCATTCATCCATCCTCTCATCCATCTCCATCCATCCTTATTTCCATCAACATAGCCTTCCTTTTTTCACTTTGTTTTCACCCAGTCCATCCATCTTTTCTTCCTTCCTCCCATCCTTCATTTATCCATTTATGTACTCATTCATCACACCCTCTCTCTCTCCCTTGCCCCTATTCTCTCTCAAGATATTCTTCTTAAATTCCTTCTTCCTCCATAATGAAAAATCAATAAATACATTTTGCATATTATCATTTTATAGTGTCAGTTTGTTTTCCTGCTCTTCATTGGAAAGTCCAGGCTGGGGGATGTGGTGGTGGTGGGAGGCTTAAGTATGCATTTACATTTTTCCTAAAATAGAAATCAGAATACTAATTCCACCAATTGAATGAGTCATATCAATAAGATCCTCTAATTTTACTTTACTGCTATCTTTAATTACTTTGTTAATAGATTTCATGATCTTCTTCAGGGAAGAACTAAAAAAGTCCATTTTGCTAGATTTTGAAGAATTATTTGTGACGAAAGTGCAGAGGGAGCTCCTGATCACACATTTCTACATTGAGCCCAGGCCATTACAACCAGGGTCACCATATAATTGATGAACCAGGACATGTTGTAAGCAAATGGGGATGCCATTAGTGATGACACAAAGAAGCTAGGTGCAAGTCAGGACTATCCAGGCAGGGTGGGACATAGGATCATCCTCATTCTAACTCATTTGGGTAAAAGAAGCGATATGCAGGGCCTGTGGGCTTTGAGACCTTCAAGGCCCTATACAAGTGGGCCCATCCTGACTGCACATTGCAGCTATGCATGTCTGGCCAGCCTCCCTCGGATGTGACAACACTGAGTGGGAATGAAGCGTGGGGGGCGGGGAGAGGAGGGGACTAAGCCACTGTTGCGGGAGGTGGTTCCTCAGCAGATCACACACATACAGGTTTGACCTCCCTTACCCCAACCCACTCCTACCACCCATGAAACTATCTCTGAACTCAATTTCTTATCTCCTCTCCCATTTTGCCTCCCACACTGCTGGATGAAAGGGACAGAGGCCAGTAGCCCAGTGGTTTTTGTGTTAACTTCAGGCTGATATTCAGAAATTCATCAGGGCACACCGTGAGGTCCCACTGGCTGCTGAAATAGCTAACTACTTCCTTCAGCCACAGAGTGTTCCCTGGAGCTCAGCCACTTCGCTTCCCCCTCTCAACCCTTTCGATCTCCCCATTATTTTTCCAGCAACGAAGGAGCAGGACCTGCCAGGCAGGGTCTGGGCCTCTCACCTTCGCTGCTCTGTTTTGAGAAAGCAGGTGTTGGTTACCCTGCTTCCTTTTTAAACGAGCTCAAATATAGCCCCGATAATTCCACCCCACACCATCCCCAAACCACAGGCAAACCCCACTACAAATGAGTTCACCCAGTACCTTGTAAAGCTCCCCTTCCTGAAAGCTGCAGTTGTTGGCCTCCAGCCTTCGGCAGGTGGTCCGCCGCATCTCGAAGTTCACGTGGTACTCCATGTGGTCGGTAACCTGTGGGAAGCAGGCGGCAAGGAGACACAAAGATTTCTCCTTCTCCATAGCTTCTGGGACCGGGACCTCTTTCCCATGGTGCCAAAGGGCAAGGACCCCATCCTGGGTAGAGAGCTGGGTCCCTTTCTCCCCTAATCATCTGACTCCCATGCCTCCTTTTGTCATTTGAGGACAACTCACTAGAAACCATTCTGTGGGCAAAGCCATCCCTTGGAAAACCCAAAGGATGCCAATGATTCCGGTACAGGGTCTGCAAACTTTGTCTACAAAGGACCAGAGAGTAAACATTTAGCCTTTGGGGGCATGTGGCCTCAACTCTGCAATTACAGCGCAAAAGCAGCCCCACAGGACACGGCACACCTGGTGTGGCTGGGAACCAATGAAATGAACCACAGAGGCAGCAACAGGCAGATTTGACCCTCGGGCCACAATGTACCGACTCCTGGTATTGGGCACCACTTAAGCAACTTAACTTTATCAGTGAACTTAGGTTTCTCTTCAGCTGCCCACTTCTCATTAAATGAGGCTGAATTTCACGTGACACTCTGGGAAGAGGGGAAGAGGAGCCCACTGACCAGCCTCTTGACCTTCAGGACACGCACAATCCGGAAGTTGTACTTGTCATCACTTTCCTGGTTGAACTCCCTGGTCACATACTTCAAGGTGGTTACCACGAAGGCTTCTGATGCAGGCACTTCTTGGACACTAATAAAGGTTTTCTTCTTTTCTTGGTAGGCGATGGCCACCAGGGCCACCAGAATGGCCAGTAGAAGCTGTGGGGCCTGCCTGGGTCTAGCCATTGCCCCTCAGCTCAGGGGGCCTAGGAAGAGCTCCCTCCACGTCCTGGTTCCCAGGGACCCTGACTGGCCTGGCGGATTTAAGCCCATGCATGGTGGACGCCCACAGCTCTCCTCTCCGTCTCTTCATCTGCAGCTGAACCTGATGAGCAGGGGAGATTGTGCAATGGTTGGCAAGCTCACCC